TGGTTTCGGTTTGTTGGCTGACGGCGCCGATGCCTGCAGACGCAGCTTCTTTAGCGGCGGAATACCAACTATCGTTTCAATGAACGACTGAGGTTTATTAATGGCTAGTGCCATGTTGGTAGTTATTCGCGTGTTTTGTCAAGGTTCTATAATTATTGTTTATTTCGTTATTTCTTCAGCACAAATGTATTTCATCAAATTCATGAGCAAACACGGATGAGGTTTGTATCGATAAATCAAACATCGTCAATCTGTTTACATGTTATATCGATACTTCGATATTTGACTTCCGATTCTTGGTGGACAAAAAAGCGCTAAATATGGTAACTGCATTTTGAAAACGCTAAACGATACATATCGCTCTAAAGTTAATCGAAACTCGTCTTGTTAACTCCATTATGCATCTATTTGAGTCGGTGCGCGCGCGCCCAATTAGCAACCAAGTACAAGAGGTTTTGAACTCTTTAAATTCCAACTAATTGCAACAGTTGCATTTCTAAAACTCAAGTAAATAAATTTACAGTCAGTGAACTTTCAAATTCAAAGAAATGTTAAAACTTAAGGTCATAACAGGAAATGCAACGTTTCCATATTAATACACATGTCAACCAATGTAGGTCATAAGACACATATGTAGGTATTGAATAAGTTAACAGCAATTATGTAAACCCATTTTATAAGTTTCAATTAACGAATTAAAATAAAGAAAGAGCAGTCGATTCTCGCCACTGAACATTGCTAGTCGTGTTTTCATTTACCAAAACCTTATTTTCCCCGCATCTACCGTATACAAAATTCGCGCGAGTTACCATCTCAGTCCCCTCAGTTCCCCCTGAGGTGACCCTTCCAAGCCGCCTCGGCTTGGTGCCGCATAAGTGAGGACTTCAATATTTATTTATATTTATACGTTTTTGATTTTAAAATTAATACACTCATTTAATTTAATTCCATTGAAATTTTCTGACTTGGCAACAGGTTACTGTTATTTTTATTATTAACACATATTGATTGAGATTGCTTGCTTGATTTAGATTGCTTACGGCGAAAACTTTGTCAGCTCTGTCTATTAACTATTTATTCTGGCATATTAAAAATTTGGACATACTTTTGTTGTTGCCGAAGTCGTTACAGCTCATTCCATTATCGACTGCGTTATTATTATTATTTTTTTTTCTATTACAATTCTGTACATTTTTGGATGCTTTGGATCCCTTTCCGCATCTTTTGTTAATTGCGCGCTAAATTTCAAAGCTAAGCTGATAACAGAACCCAAGCCGAAATGTTGTTTAACATGAATAGTAACGGAGCTGCTCTTCGCGAACTGGGTCTTCTAACACTGGTGAATACTACCGCGCTTACGTTGTTCATGTTTGCATTACGTGATTCGTAAAGAGGCGCCTAATTCGTAACGCTGAAACTAATTTCGATTTGGCTTATGTACTACGTACATATGTATGTAAGTAGATTGAGCTTCGTGTCTGTTCAATGAGAAAGAAAATAAAACAACAAATTGACAATTTTCATTAGTTTACTTGTGCACTTATACGGCAGTTATACGGCTTATAGATCTAAAAATATTACATTTGTAAATGGGAGCATATGTGGGCTTTAATTTTTAAAGAAATACGGAGTACAAAACTGCGGGTTAGCTACATATGTACATATGTATGTATGTATGTACATATATGCAAGAGCTTAACCTTTCAATTACAATTGCAATACGCGGCATTGGAACGAACTGTTACCGTGTGGTTTGTTGTTTCCTGAGGACCACATCCTTACCTGGCGAATGAATGAATTCGATCGAAGACAACTGTGTGGCAATGAGAGAACTGAATATAAGCATGAAATACTGAGTACTGAGTAAGTAGAGGTGAGGAGCAATGCCCAAAACACGCAGTGGAGTAATTAATCGGCTAAAAACTAGAAAAGTCGAACTCGTAAAAGTGCTACTTGGGAAACAAGCAATACGATACAAGCTGTAATCGACAATATCGACTGGATTGAGCAAAAACATAAAAAAAGCTCAACCTCTACAATTAAACAATTCAAAAAAAAAAAAAAAAAAAAAAAATCCATTTATAAACTACGTATTTAGCAGAACAGAAAAGCAAAGCAAAAGATGCCCAGCAGACTGCCCTGGACCGCTGGAGTCGGCGAAGTGTGAGTACGGGCTCGTCGCAGCCGGGAGAGGAACTCCAGAACTGACCGTTTGACGAAGAGGGAATTAGTTCCAATCGACCAGCCGAATCATATAGTCTATCAAAGCTAATCAACATTATCCTCGCAATTGATTCAACAATTACTAACCCAAATATTTGCATTAAAGTTATAACGCTTAATCTGAACACACTGAGTGTTCTTATTCGTTATATTATGTTCATTCTAAACAGCTTCTTTTGGTGGGTATACTCTAAGATGTGTTTGCCGCCCATATGCAACGGCAATGGCATCACTGAAATACCCTGAGATGCGGCTGCCACCCCATTGAGTGGCAGCAGCATCGTTAACTTAAACATATTGAGACAAAAATCGAAGAAATGTTAATCATTAACACTTAAATTGTAGTAATTAAGAAACATTTTAAATTGTAGTAACTGAGCGATAACTGCGTTGCTTGGTATAGCGTAAAGTCATACGAATATTAGCCAGGAAGATCACTGCGTTGAAAGTATAGGATATATAGGAATAAGTAGAAATATATAGGAATAAGTAATTAGTAATCTAATATATTCTTAAAAAAAAAAAAAAAAACACACACACACACACACAAAAGAAACAAGACGTGTTTTACTTGACGTTCCCTTCCAATATTCATACAATAGTAGAGATCGCTAATGAAGTACATAAACATAGGGCTGACTTCGAAAAATCGTACATATGCTTGAGTCAAAATAGGCCGATTCAAGCGATTTATTTATTTATTTACCGATTCCAGCGTGTACGGTAAATAAACATGCAGTTGTATTCGTTTGCACTTATAATGAAGTACTAGATCTTGTAAGGAAAGACCAGAAGAAACTCGCAAAATTGCACTGGACTCAATTGTTCGACGTCTCAGAGGAAGGTTCTCTTTGGATCTGCATGTGCCAAGTGCAAGCCCTTTGACTTCACGCCCAACGATATACATATCTCCTGTTGTCACTCATGCTCAACCTTCGTTAGCTTTGCCCTCGCTGTGGCCATCGTGTCAAGTTATCCCCTACCCCAACCTAAACCACTGCGGCTGGGTCAGTCTATCCGAACCAAGCTCACTCAGCAACAGCATGAAGCTTGATTATATACTTCACTTGAAATCCAGAATCAAAAGGAAGCAGACCTGTTTCATTTGCGATCAACAAAATCCTCTGTTTCCTACATACACCATCACAATTCCTACGAGTGGTAATTCGCCCGCTTCCCCGGCGAAATGTGCCTCGTATCCGAATTGCACAATCCGCCGGAATACAGATAGCTGAGTCGGATCGACGGCAACCGGATATCAGCGGAACGTTGATTCGTCGCAATACTCAAATAACGCCTATGCACGATGCTTCCCTCTCGTTCTGGCGCCCGAGCAGGGACCGATTCTTTTCAAAGGATGGGCTCCCTAGTGAAAATAATAACTGAAATAGTAAGTGCAGAGTGTTGTGACAAATGCAAAAAATAAAATAAAATGAAATAAAAAATAGGAAAAAAT